TTTCACACGGATCAATCCACACAGTCGAAAATCACGGGGGGGGGGGGGGGCGGAGTTGGCGCTTTGTTCCCACGAATAAACCCTATTCAAAGTCACCGAGATGCTTCAGCGGTGAAGACGGAGATTTCACCCCCATGTTTGGCCTGTTGCCAGTGCTGCAAACAAGCGCCCCTAGAAGGCCTATGGGTGGGGAGGGGGCCTGGCACCCTCAGCACGTGGGTCTTTGGGGGTCTCGGGGGGGGCGGGTTCTTCCCTTTGCAGACGCTTCATTCCCAAAGCAGCCACTTCCTCAGCGCCCCAGGGGATTTCCCCCCTCCTCTGGGAAGGGTTCGCTCCTACGGGACCCTCGGCCGCCTTTCTCTTTCCGAGGTGCCACAAGTAAAAGTATCGCTGAGGCGTCAATGGGCGGTGGGCGTGTCCCACTGCAGCTGCGGCTGCCAGAGAAACCCTCCCCGCCCAAGAGGGCAGTTCCGGCGGAGTCGAAAGGGCCGCCGCGCCTGCGCCGGGGGGGGGGGGCTAAGAGCGGCCGGAGCGCCTGCGCAGAGCAACCGGCGGGTCGGGGCGCCTTTCGGCTGAGCGGGTGGGACTGGCTTCTTCTTCCCCTCGGGCTCAGCCCCAGGAGGCGGGAAGGGCCCCCGCGCCTGCACCCGGGGGCGGGGCGTAGCCAAGAGCGGCCGGGGCGCCTGCGCAAAGCAACCGGCGGGCCGGGGCGCCTGCGCAGAGCAACTGGCGGGTCGGGGCGCCTTTCGGCTGAGCGGGCGGGGCTGGCTTCTTCTTCCCCTCGGGCTCAGCCCCAGGAGGCGGGAAGGGCGCTGGCTTCTCGCGGCCTCCGGCTCCGGGCCAGTCCCGGCCCTAACGGCTCCGGCCTCCCCTTGCCCCATGGCGGGCGAGGAGATCGGAGGGGAGCGGTGGTGGGGTGGGGGCAGGAGGGGCGGGGCCTCCCAGGAAGGGGCGGAGCAAGACCGCAGCCCGCCCGCCGGGAAACGAAACCGAAAGCGCTGGCGGCCCTTCGACTCCACTGCGCAGGCGCCCCGGCTGAAGCTGTCTCCCTCCCCGCCCGCTGCCGGGCAGAGCGGAGGCCCCTCGCAGGGGGAGGGGGCGGCTGGGCCGGGCGGAGGGAGCTTCGCAGGTGAGGTCGACTCCCCTTCCCCCGAAGTGACGCCCCCCCGGGCTGAGCTGGAGGGACCCGAAGAGAGCCGGAGGGGGGGCTTCCCTTCCCTCTTCTCCGCCCACTGGGCAGCCTCCCCCCCTCCCCCTTTTCCAAGAATCCCCCTTGTCTGCCCCTCTTCCCCCAGGACAGGAAAGGGGGGGGGCCTTAAGCGGAGGAGGGTTCCCAGCCTGCTCCCTGCAGGAGGGGGAGGGGCTGAGAAAGGAGGAGCCTCCCCTTCCCCCCCCCAACCGACAAGGAGCCAATGGGCAGCTTCCCTTCCAGGCTCCGCAAAGGAGGCTGAAGATCCCATGGCGGCCTCAGGAGAGGAGACCCTGGAGGGGCAGCTGGGCCAGGAGGCCACCTGCCCGCTCTGCCTGGACTTCTTCGAGCAGCCGATGTTCCTGTCCTGCGGGCACAACTTGTGCCGGGACTGCCTGGCCCAGCTGGGCCCTGAGCCTTCCTGCCCCCAGTGCAGGGTCAAGGTGGAGCCCGGCAGCGCCTGCCCCAACCGGGCCCTGGCCAACGTGGTCCGCCTGGTGAAGAGGCGTCGGCTGTCGGAGGGCGCCCAGGAGGAGAGCAGCGGCCAACGGCTGTGCCAGGAACACGGGCAGCCCCTGCAGAGCTTCTGCTCCCGCGAGAAGAGCCTCCTCTGCCCCGGCTGCCTGGAGGGGCACCAGGGCCACGCGCTCCTCTCTCTGCCTGAGGCTGCCCAGGAGTTCAAGGTAGGGGTCGGGCACCCTTGGGCCAGGCTTTCCAAAAGGGGGGAGGTGGGCAACCCCAATTGTGTTGGGGTAATTCCCCGTTAACCCTAACCATCAGGACACGGGGGGGGGGGCAAGACCGACCCTCAGTTGCTCTCCTCGTGGGTCCCTGCCTGCCCCTGAGGGCCCCCAGCAGGGCCTCTCCTTGAGCGTGGCACAGGGTTCCTGTGGCCCCCTCTGGGTGGGAGCGCTGCCATTTGGGAGCCAGCAATGGCACCCTCTCCTCCGCGTGCAGGACATGCTGGATGGCCTCCTGGAGCCCCTGAGGAAGGAGGAGCAGAAGTTGCTGGAGCAGAGGCGGGCCGAGGAGCAGAGCTGGCAGGAGTGCCAGGTGGGTCTCTTGGGGAGCGGGCAGGAGGCAGGTTCTGTGGCTGGGAAATCTCCCCCCTCCCTCTGAGTCCCCCCCTCTTCTTCTGCCCCCCAGGAGCTGCTTGCCGCCGAGAAGCAGGTGGTGTGCGTGGCGCTGGAGTCCCTGCAGGAGCTGCTCCGGGAGAGGCAGCCGGTCTGGCTGAGCTGGCTGGCCGAGCAGGAGGAGAAGATGGAGGCCGAGCGGGCGGTGCCCCTGGCCAAGCTCTCCGGGGAGGCCTCCCGCCTGCAGCAGCTGATGGCCCA